CTGCAGCCACCTCGGTGCTGATGAGTTAGTTGTTGCAAGGGCTGGAGGGAACTGCTGATGTTGGAAAGCTCCCAAACTCAGACCTCCGGGAGAAAAGCAGACTGCAAGAAAGCAAGGTGCAGTGCAGGGACCTGGCTGGTTCCTTGTTCCAGATTTCCTAGCTGAGCACAGGGAGGAATAAGAGTCCAGGTTTGCAGCCTCACTCCCCTGTCAAGGCAGGAAAATGCTGGGCTGGGATTCTTCCTGGCAGTGTGGGGTACTTACATGTTCCTGGCACCCCAGAAGTGCATGCAGTGTTGCAGAGACATTTCCAACCTTTTATCCATTCCTTTTTCATCCTCTTTTCCATCTTTCCTTGTGTACAGTCCCATACTCCACTATCACCCAGCCCCTTTCCCACTTCCCACCCTTTTCCTCCTCTTCTGCAGCAGCACACAGAGCCTAAACTATCCCTTTGCTTGCAGGAATACGACCCCTGGAAGTCCTCAGACAGGATCTGCAGGCAGCTAATCTACCACCTGACCCCACACTCCAAATGGCACCGGCATGGCATGCCCCGCAGGAAGTCCCAAATGTGGTAAGTTCCTCAGGCTCTCTCAAGTGCTTCGAAATCAGTCCTGCTGCCACAGTGCTAAGGAAGAAGAGGAGCAGTACTTGAAAGGTATGCAGCCCCACAAGCACTCCAAGTTGGCAGCCCTGCAGACACACAGCCGAGACACAACTGCAGAGCATTGCATAAGGCAGAATAAGTTGAATTAAATATGTAACAGCAGCACTTTCTTGCTAAAAAACAGAAGAGGAACTGGTTTATGTTTGTGGCAAAAGGCACCTGCAGAGTCGGCATCTTTGGCTGCTGCTGGTAACAGAAAAGCAAGGAATTACTGTTTCACTTGGAGATATCAGGGTTGTATTCTGTCCAGCCAGACTGTTTTTAACTGATCTGTGTTCTCTGCTTCCTGCCATCTGCTATAGAGCATTTCACTCTGACCTCTGTCTGAACTCCTGCCCCTGCCTTGTACCTTTCTACCTTCAAGGTCCTGTAAGAAGTACATGTATAGCAGCAAGACTTCTGAAGGCATTTCTGATCTCCGGTGGAAATCTGGGATTGTTCAGAGGAATCAATGTGTGGAAAACATATTCCCTTGTCTTTGTGATCCTCTGGGCATGGGCTTTCTTGGGTCTGATACAGAACCCAATTCATCTCTTTTTCCACTTTCTGGCAACGTGCCAAATGGGTCCAGGGGATAATTAGCAAGTTCAGCCACACAGACCACAGGGAACTTCTGGCAGGTTTTAATTACACTTGGGCTGCTACAGAGATGTGGTCTGGGAGATGGAAAGGACCCACCGTACTCGAGCAGGACCACACATCAGGTGTTCCCCTGTGACCAAGCAACAAACCTGTAGGGCAGGAACTGACTCTAAGTCACATCCTAATCCCTGTCAGTGGAACCCAAACCTCTCAAGTAAGTACAAACCTGAGCTACCCATGAATTGATGAAGTAGAAAGGATGAGATAAATGTCTTCAAGCACTCCTGTTTCAATACATAGTGATCCCAGGATAACTGGAACTGCAAACTCTGCTAAGGACCAGTCACACTTCCATCATGCAGAAGCAGTTTTATTTTAGTCACACATTGAGCCCAACCAGATCCCTCAGAGACTGTTAGCAAAACATCCTATGAGAGCTTTCAGACAAGAACATCTCTCTGGATATTCTTAACCACAGACCTGCTCCCCCACTAAAGCCATAGGTCCTACCTGCTTCTGTTACCACCTTTAACACTGATGCCTTTAACCTGAGGCTGTGACCACAGCAAAGGTGCAGTGAATCTCATAGGGACACAACAGGTGCCACAGGTTGCCATCAGAGCAGCTTTTACCAGCTGAACACCCCAGGCCAGAAACAGAGTCCACGGAGAAACATGGAAGAAGAAATCTTACAGCAGCAGATTGAACGCAACAGCAGCTGAAGTAGGGAAGAAAGATCCAGTCCAGACTGTCTCTGGTTTCCCTGATTGTCATAGATGATGCTGGAAGACAGATCCCCTCCTGCATCGAAGCTAGTTGGTTCTTGACAGGTTAGCAGTGTCTCAGCTGTTCATGCACCCAAAGAGACTATTTCAGCTGCTCAGGTGATAATCAGGTTTGCTACACTGAAAACAAAGGGCTCCATTCTCCTTTCCTGACATATTTGTCTTGAGTCTGTAGCTCCCAGCTGACATCCTGTGTCTCACCTGATGGTGCTGCTTGGGCAGGCTGCCTGAGCAAACACCAAGGCTGAGCTCTTGAGGAATTTACTGAGGGTTTTCGAGTAAGAAGCCTGCAAGCAGGAGGATAACTTTCCCTCAGCAGGGACCAGCATGACCTTACTACACAGTTGTCAGCCTCTTGTCAGCCTCTTCCCTTTAGGAAGGGACTTCAGTTAAAGCATGGTTATATAGTTTAGCTCATTAAGGATGACTAATCACATTCCAGGGTGCCGTACAACTCCAGCTTCTCTTCCATAAACTGATGTTTACAATGTAAAGAGAAACAGATTAAGGCTTCTCAGTGTGGACATGGGGTTACTTAGACTACCAAGAACCCTTTCTGCAACATTTTGACAGATGCAGTTTTTTGAGACACAGCTGTTTTTGTCAGATCTCAAAGCTCCTGTGGCTCAGCACTGCAGGACTGTATGTTCTCCTCCAGAAGAGAGCTGGACCTGAAGTATATATTACTTTTCGAGGGCAAAGCCAGAGCAGACTGCAGTTCAGAGTGTAAAGGGTATCAGCTTAACGCAGCCTTTGCCTGAAGGGGTGCACTGTAGCTTAGTACCACCATTAAGGAGCTATAGATGATGACTGAACTGTGTTGGCATAGCTGGGTTGGGGAACCTTGCACATCTTCTACTAGCATTGCACTCAGAGCTGGCTGCTCAGTGCCTCTATTCAGTGCAATGGATGGAACCTGAACCCATAAAACATGCAGGCAGAAAACTGAGCAATCTTTACAAGCAGGATGTTCCTGGTGCAGAAAAAATAGCCTCAGTTTCCCACCCAGTAACCTGTTCTGGAAGAATAAAGGCATCTGTGCATATGGAGTTAGTAACTCTCAGTTGCATACATCCAGGTTTCCTTTTTCACAGGTCACACTATGGGTTTAGTTCATTTGCCAGAGTGAATTGCATTTTGTAATATCTTAGCTAATCTAAAGCCGGGTGGGGAACTGAGTGTTCCTTCTGGGCTCATTGCTCCATTTCTCATTTATTGATGTGCACTGCCCAGACACTGCAGCATTAGATGCACTTTAAAAATGCAGTGAAAGCATTTGTGTCTAGAAGACTGCAGGGAAGCATCTCTAAAGGGCTTCAGGTCTTTTTATTTCTTCTTGAAAACATCAGTCAGGGCCATAGATGACAGCTCTGGCAGATTAGATCTTAGCCTTCACATGGCATGAGATGAATATTAAGTAGAGCTCCCATTTCTCCTTTATACAGCAGAGGAAATGTTCACCATCATTCTGCTTTTGAGTTAGGAAGCCAAGTTAGAGAATACCAGTCAGTTAACTAAAGCCACGTGGTAAGAATCAGATGCAAGTACAAGAGCAGCTGGGACTGGGTTTGTTTAGCTTAGTGCTCTTGAGGCTTCTCTCATCTCACCAGAAGCAGCTGAAGCCAGACTTTCAAAGCAGCACCCTGTGCCACAAGGAAGCAAAAGCAAGCAGATTATGCTAAGTAGGCAATTAAAAAGCCCAGAGCTCATCCCTTAAGTCGCTGGCAGAGGAGCCATCCAGACATGCCTGCCATTAGGCTCTGTGCAAGGAGGAACAGCAAAGAAATACTCAACTCGTGGTTAATAAGCCACCTCTGGCAGTGCCTGTTAATGAAGGAGGGGATGCACAGTGGTGGGAGCACCAGGAAAACTTTGAATATAAAGTTTTGGAGGCAAATTAAAGAAAAATAAGAGACATAGAGGGAGAAAGCTGGTAACTCCCCAGCAGTACAGGCAGGGACTATTAGACATCCTTCATTACTGAAATCTTATTTGGCTCTTACCACTTCCTCCCAGCTTCTGCTTCCCTGAGCATGAATACAGGGCAAAAGCACTCAATTTCCAGGATGCTGAACAAGCTCCTTCAAGACCTACAACACAACAGGATGCCAGGCACCACTGGATCTGCTGCAGGTCTCACCAGAGCAACAAACAGGAGCTGTCACAGCCACCAAAGAGCTTAACTGATGAGGGAGAAGTTGAAGGGCACTGATCTCTTAGGAATGGCAGGCACTGCTCCTCACTGCATGCTGCACACAGCTCCAGGCAGGCTGTGGGGTCAGACTGCACATCACCTTCTTGCTCACATTGCATTCTCACTTGAAGCTGAGCCTCCAGCATCACATTTCCTCTCTAAATTTACTGCAGAGAATACAAACATCTTCTGCTTCCCTGCATCCAGGGTCTAGATCCTTGCTGGATGCAAACCCTGGCAATTATAGATGTGCCACACAGCATCAGCTGCAGCAGCACAAGGCTAATCCAGCCTCCAGCACTTCGCAGCCCTCTGCCTACAAGTCCCATGGGCATCCAGAGCCATGTCACTAAATAGCTGTTTTGTCTCACACAAAGAAAAAAGCATCTTCAATTGAAGCTATATTTAAACCTATTTTACTTGCAGAAATTAGAGGATATTAGATGATCCCCTCCCCTAGAAATAAGCCTGGCATTTTATCAGCTGCTGCACAAACATCTTCTTGCTCCTCTCACAATCCACAGAGGGGTGGCCCAGGTCCCATAAAGAGCAGACATAAGGCTGTTTGAAACCTTTAGGTCTAAATGCAAGTTATTTCACACTGTTACAGCTTTCTACCATGAGAAATCATTAAATACATTAGACACAGCCTCAGCCTCGCACAGTGAATTCCCTCCAGAAGCACAAGGATGCATAGAAAAAGCCAGAAAAAAAGTGCTGCAAAACCCAGAGAGCAGGAATTTGTGGGCTGTAGAACAGATAGGGCAGCCCATGAGGTCATTTCCTCCTCATGCTCCTTCATGGGATCTTCATGCATCCACAAAGCGTCAATAAATGCACTGATGCATAGTTATTCATTTGTGTTACCACATATTTATAGAAATTATTAGGAGCTGAAGTTTCTGAAATAGCACAAACTGTATACACGAAGCAGAGCATTAAAGGGCAGCATCATATCCACCCCACAACAGCAGAAGGGCCTGGAAACACTGAAGTTTACAGAGGCATTCTCACCTGCCATGGCAGCTCCTGTGGTGCTCTAGCCTTCTCCAAGGAAACTGCACATCCCTGTGTGCCCATCGCTCCCAGGGACTGGCTGTGCTGCAGCCGTGCAGGACACTACAGGCAGGCAGATAGGAAGAGTGGGCACCTTCATACTGGTGGTTAGTTCTTACCCCAACCCAACAAGGCACTTCTACACCCACTGAGCATATGAGTAAGGGCAATAGTGGAGATCCTAGCAGAGGTCCAATATCCTTAAAGCTATCTGCATCTGTAAGGACTGCGAGGCTAATATCACTTATATTAAGGCAGTAAGCTCCCACATTACACCAACACACACTTCTACTCAATCCCACAACACAGCCTCATCATCCCCCATAGCTTCCACTTCTCACAGCACTCCCACAGACCTACAATCCACCTCAGAACTGCACATCCCACTCATTTTGAGACCCTGTAGCACAGCTTTGCTTACCCTACAGCCTACCTCCTCCTCGCTCTGTTCCCCTGGCAAACAACAAGGGCCACAGGTGAAAGCAGATCTCTCTAGATTGCTCTCAGCACCCTGCTGCCCTGCCTACCTCCTCACAGCTGCAGCAGATCCCCAATGATTTGCTGACCACCGAGATCCAAACCAGCAACTACAGGTGGGGGATGCTGGGGAAGGCTCTTAAAGGGACGTGGTAAATCCACTCCTGGAGTGCTGTTTGCTCACAGATTGTTTTTTTCTGATAAAATATCCATTTCACAGCCTTTTAACACCGCTCTACTGCAGCATAATTTGCAACAGACCACAGCATTCACCTGGAGAGGTGGTGAAAAAACAGCTCAGACACATTGCAAACCAGGGCATATGAAAGCTTTGCTTGCCATGGGTATTTCTGCTGTCCATGTGTGAACATCTGTATGTACACATCCAGACAAACCCTCTAGTTTGAAGAATTAGTGAAAGAATTCAGAGTCATATGGTTTGCCAGTTCTTGAGGAGTTTAAGTGCAGAGAAGACACAGGAAAGCCCCAGGACACAACCTGCCCAGAGGCATGGTGCAAACGTCATGCCTGTTAACTAACCAAGCTCCACTTTCTGTTTGCAGAACGTTCTTAACCAGCCCTCCCCTGCTCTGTGAGTGTCATTCCTCTCTCTCCCTTTCCACCCCCAGCCTGAAGAACAGCCTGCAGAAGAAGGTGAGCCAGGGCTCCATGGATCTGTCTGGGATCCCTCTGACCATGCGGGACGTGCACCGCATGGCGTACTACCTTCAGAACAACGGGGACCACCTCACTTCTGTGGACCTGAGCTTCACCGAGCTGAACGACGACATGGTGCGCCTGCTGCTGCCCTTCCTCTGGGCGCTGCCCAAGCTCACCCACCTTTCCCTCAACGGCAACCGACTGACGCGAGCAACCATGAAGGAGCTGACTGACACCATGAAGGACATGAACAAGTTCCCTTGCCTGGCTTGGGTAGACCTCGGCAACAACGTGGATGTCTCGTCCATGCCGCAGCCTTTGCTCGTGGGCCTGCGCAAGCGTCTCAGCCAGCAGACCACGCTGCCAACCATTTATGAGGCTCTCGACTGTGACCCAGAGATCCCCAGTGGGCAGGAGGGTGGCCGGCCGGAGGGCGAGGAGGCAGGGAGCACCCCACGGCTTGCTGTCCCTCAGCAGGGCTGTGAGAGGTGACTGTACAACGAGCCGGCTCTGGCACACTTGAAGCCGCCCCGAGGAGCAGTTCTGAGTCCAAACGCCAAGCAGAGGGCCAGCTTGACTGGCTTCCTTCAGCACTTCTCTCTCACCTTCCCTGACATCTCCCTCCAGTTTGCTGTGAGACAAAGCCTGCTGTTCCCCAAAATGTGCTCTGCTCCCTCCCCTCGCTGCCGAGCCCATCGCCCACATTACGGAGAGGAACTTACAGCAAAGCTGGTCCCCAGGCTGGGCTTTACTGGAAGACCTGTCGGAGTCAACCATTTCTTCCAGCAGCCATTGGGTTGAGGGAAAGTGATGGGGGAAAACTTAAAACAGAAACAGGCTTGTAGTTTACTTCCTTTCCTTCTTTTCCTAGGCACCTTGGAAAGCTTGGGACCTGCAGTCTTGAGTGTGAAAGGAGGTACCCCAAGAGCCTAGCTGTTGTGGAGCTTCGTTGAAGGGCTCAGAGGCCAGAGCTGGAGCCCGGCAGTGTCTCCCTCTTGTGTCTGGCTCTTTTTGTTTTGCTTTTTTTTCCCCCCCCATTGTGTGTTTTGTATTAATGTCTGAACAAAGGGACTTGGTCAGAGACCATCGGATTGCATAGGCTGGGGCAGACACATGGCTTGGAACTGCAGCATCAGGATATTTGTTGTGTGACTGGGGTGAGAGGGAGGGGAAGGAGGTATGTGTTGGTGGGAGCATGGGGGATTGGGATGAGATGAGATGGGGTGGGAAGGCCAAGGGTTGAAAAGGGAGGGGAAATAGTCTTGTGGTTTAAAAGGACTGGTTCAAAAACTGTGGTTTTGTACCCAAGTTACAAGTTTCAAGTGAAATTAAGGAGCATCAGACAGCTAAGTGCTTTACTGACACTAGAGGAGCAAGCAGTGAATGTGCCAGAGATGGGCACTTCCTAAGCTAAAGTGCAAAGCTTTGGCTCCTTATTGCATATTGCACACCTCGTAATACTGACATGATGTGAGCAGCTGCATTGTCATTTCCAATGCTGTCCAAAACCAAACCAGTGATGCAAGATTTCTAGTATTTTCCACATTGCTCACGTTCTGTGTAAACTCAATAAATGGTTCTCTTGGACATGAGTGTAAAGCACCATTGGGTCTGAGTATCTGTGTTGTTGCCAAGCTGAGCCAGCAGCCCAGTCACTGCAACCTGACTTCTGAAAGAATCTCTCTGGGAGTCTCAACATAAAAGAAACTCTCATATACTGAGCCACACAAATCAGCGTGAAACAGACGATTCTCTCATGCTTCTTGCTGACCTCTCAAGGTGTTGCAAGAGCAAATTGGTGATGCTGAGTGATTTATCCCCTTTGGATGAAGAGTGAGGGCACTGGATGGTATCAGTATCTCTGATCAGCTGCCAAGAGTCTCATCATAGACTCATAAAGGTTGGAAAAGACTTCTAAGACCATCTAGTCCAGCCATCAGTACATCCCCACCGCGCCCACTAAAACACATCTCTCAGTACCAAAAGTTACCCAAGGAAGAAAGATGGCTTTACAGACACTGGGACAAGTATTACAACCTGGTGTTGCAGGAGTTAGCCAGTTTAAGTTGCCCATCACAGTGGAGATGGGAGAGAAAAGGCCCCAAGATAGTGAGGACATGGTGCTTGGAACGACGGTGGGAAACAGGTAGTGCTGACGTAGCCAGGCTGTTGTGCAACCCAAGGAAGTAAGGGAGCTTGTGTTCCCCTAAACAGTTCTCATCCCTTTTTGTGAGATTTGTGGAGTAATTTCTATGGCAAAGGCTGCATTTGGGGGCATGAGATTGTCTTGCAGAAGGCAAAACAGAGTTTCTCAAGCAGCTGCTCCCATTACTGGGAAAGGCTCTGCCACTTTCAGAGGTCACTGCCTGCCTGTCTTGTTAAAACTCAATTTCTCCCTCTCCTTGTGCTATCTCTTTCCTCCCCTGTTGTGGAAAAGATCATATTTAGTTTTTCTTCTTTTCCATCCAAAATATCCTTCAGCAAAAATGAAAAGCATTTCAAACGGCAGCAGGATCTGCTTAAACCCTTGCAGTCTGAGCAGAGCAGCAGTCTGTGCCAAGAAGAAAACTCGGGCACGAAGCATTCAACTGAAAGCTCAGTGCTGCCTGGTGAGTCAGAGTTGTATCTAGAAAGAGGAAGCAGGGTGCTGAGCATTCCATCTCAAAGCACTGCCTGTAAGGCTCTGTATTGAGGTATCTTCACAGCTTTTCTATCACAGAAGAACCCCTCAGAAACAAGGCAGGACCCCCAGCGTGCAGCCCACCATGACAGCTCTTCCTGCAGAATCCCTGGCTCAGCCCCAACCACTTCCAGCCCTGCTGTAAGTAGCCTTTTGGGTCCAAGCCATGCTGATCAGCAGGATGGAGAAGAGACGTTCTGCCCTTTGCAAGGGAATTCTGTGCTACTGGCAGCTACAGGAGCAAGAGATAAAGCATGGCTTGAAACAGACTGGTTAAACCAAGCAGCTGTGGGACTGGTTCTTTATTCCTCCATATGCACTTGGTTGCTTTGCCATAGAAACTTCCCCACGGAGAACTGGCTGTGAATAAATACATGCAAATGCAAATTTTGAGGTCTTGGCTTAGGAAGCCAGCAGTGCCTCTTGGATCAGCTTTAATAGCTGTGGACAAATGCTCACAGCACATCCAGCTGTTCCCTGTCAGCTCCCAATGGCACTGACAGGTGGAGGACTCCAAGGAGCACAGCAACACCCTAGTGCACTGCGACAGGGAGATTAAAACCAGAGAGGAGAATGCAACACAAATGAGCCTCTCCTTGCACAGAATGTGAAAGCTCAGGGCTCTCAAAGGGGATTAAACGGATGAGCTGCTGGTACAAGCCTCCTCATTGCTACTTACCAAGAGGGACCAGCTTTGTTGTGCTGCTAAATTAGAGGATGCCTGCCTTGCAGTGAGCTAGATAGCACAGCAGGAGAGACAGACCCCTGCCATCCTGAATACTCTCCTCAGCACCGTACTTGCTGAGGCTGTAATTTCAGCTGTGCAAAGCAGTACACACCTCATTGCCAATCTCATGCACCAGGCCAACCTCCATCATTTCACAGGTTAGCATACTCCCTTCCTCTCCACGCAGAATGAAAACAGTCAGGAGTTTCCTACCTGGCCCAGCAGCCTCCTGCATCCTCAGGGCCAAGGGAGATGGCCACCTGCAGTAAGCAGTCAGCTGGGACCCTGCACAGGGTCAGGCAGGCAGCCCACAAAGCCCAGCCACAGCTTTGCTCAAACGTGGGGACACTGAGCAGCACCACAGGTAAATAATGCCACGGGTGCCAGATGGCAGAAGAAGAAAGGATAGACCAAAACTTTTCAGTGTCTTAACCAGAAGTATACTTTCTTCCTCCTTCCCTAGCTGGTCAACATCTTCCTCACTCCCTTATCCTTTATTTTATACAGCACTGACTTCCAAACACAGAGTAATTACCTTAGCATGTTCTTGGTAGTGAGATGCTCAGCAGAGGGGTCATCACGAGCCTCCTGCCCCCCTGTGGCTCCATCCAATAACTGTAATCGTTTCGTTGAGTTAAGGATGCAAACACAGCTGGAAGCATGGGCTTGTCTGACCTATTTTTATTTCAAACACTTCAGAATCTGTCAAGGGCTTTCCTTCCCTCACGAACTAAGCTCTTTTTTTTCAGTCTATAATACATTTCTCATGATGAGTGCTCAGACAGTAATGGAGTTTGCACTCTTTGGGAAGACTGACAGGCTCCTTAGTGGACAGCT